CGACAGTGCGTATCTACGATCTCGCGTGCGGGACTCAATCCAAGGACTTTCGATCTCGCGCGTGAACGCTTAACATCTAGATCACTGAGCCGACCGGCGTCCAACGGTATAAATACCTAACTTTGACTAATCCACCGAAGGTCATCGGTTCAAGTCCCGCGCGCGTGGTCGTGGATGTGCACCGATTAGGAGTCCCATACTAGGACGAAACGGCCATCCAGTGCTTCCAGGTTTTCAGTGGTGGTCTAGCATTGATTAATCTAAGATATCAATCTAAATTTCCAAATAGACACCGAGTTTCAATCGTACCCAAATTAAAATCAATCGATGACAAATACAACCTAAAAATTAATATCTGCTGAAGATAACAATATATTTAAGAAACACAAACCACAAAAAATGGAGTGAAAAGGTAAAATTAGCGTCATTTATATATCAATAAATAATATCGTTGAATTGAATAGATTGAAATAAGATCTACTTAAGATCTTTTAAAAAAGTTTTTAGTTGTTCACACATAAAATGATTAGTAGCCATAGTGTTCACGATCAAATCAATGATGGTGATAGGCAGGAAAAAGAAGACTAATGAATGACAAGAAAGTGGTTTTTTTGTGTAAAAGAAAGGATGTCAATTATTATATCTATTACGTGTTATGATGACGATAATGATTACTATTGTAATAATGGTAATAATAATAGTTAATCAGACATGCGTGATTTACTTGAATCTGAAAAAAAGTGGGGAGGGACAATTTAAAAATGATTTTGAACGTCGATTAACAACACTGTAGAAACTATGGTGAAAATTAAAGGGTATGCGTGTTGGAGTAGAAAAAAATGGTGAGTAGTAAGATGATTGAATTTTTTTTAGAATTTAATTATATTGGCTTCGTCTTTTATTACTAGTTTAAAGAAAATGACAAAAGAAATTAACTGTAACAACACAATCAAAATATAAAACTCCAGTTAAACAATTGAATATATACATGACTATTGTCGGTTAATAAATGGAAAGGTAAGAAATAAAGCGATTAGGTTTGGGACAAGAGATGAACACTCGATAATTTAACTATCATAGTAACTAGATTCAATATACTTAACCATAATTTAAAATCTTATATTTCTTAATAAAATAACAATTCAAATGGTTAAGTTAATTAATACCTAATCCATAAATAAATGAATAAATTAACTGATTATTGTTGTTGAGGTTATTCCTTTTATACATTAAAATGAAATGGTTAAATATGTGTTAATCATTGAAAGTTACTATTTATCAGATTAAGTGTTGATAGTTAACATTTTCAAAATAGATTTAAAAAGTAAAATAACTTTCAAAGTTTAACTGGTAATTTGATCTAATGGAACCGATTTCAAACTAAAGTAGGATTCAATTGACATCACTATTGATCAGTTGACTATTGCTATTAAGGAATTAAATGTATACTGAACATTTAAATAAATGGTTATAAATTATTAATTCAACCGAATAATTAATGATTGATTAATGTTGGGAAAAATGCTTATAAGGTAATGAAAAAGGCTTTCCTTCTACCCATCATATCAGTATTTTACTATTATTAGTATTATTATTATGTCGTGTATTACGTATAGGTGAAGTTCGTGCTGATGATGTCATTCAGAAGAACAATGAAAGCTCCACGACTAAGCTATCCAGCTACAAATTTCCACGATCTGAAGAGCTTTAAGCTAACAGTACTTCGTGATTTAAAAGGTCTCTTCAGCCAATATTAGACCTCAATAAAGTAAATTACAAATCTATGTGAATTTTATTGAAATAAAAATGATTGGTGAATACAATTGTACCTATAATGTTTATACTAATAATTTTTATATTATTTATAAGGTTACCATATCTCAGAAAATAACAAAATAAACATTAAAAAACGTGATATCTGTAAATCTCATTAATTTAAGGAACGTGGTGTTTGTACGTGGCTTTATTCACAATAAAAATGTACACATTTTAGTAAGATGACGCCTTGTCATATATATATCTGTGCTTTGACATACTAATCTACAATTCTATATATCACACCTGAAAATTTTAAATCCCTGCAGAAAAAGACATTTAAATCTTAGAAAAATTAAATTTCTATTCGTTTCCCACGCATAAACAGTAGTGACATTAATATAAGTAAACGTATATTAACCACATCATAGTATTCATATAGCTGACGTTTTAAAAAAGCACACACAATCTATACGATTTTCTTCTGTTCAATTGGATGACTTAAACTGGTTTAGAGAATAAAATGTTTTTTTAACTCCTCTCGGAAACCCCTACCCTAATTCTTATATTAACTATCTTCAATGACTTCTGAAATTTTCCAGTTTATAAATATTATCAGAAACGCGTTTTTGTGGACATTATAGTAACTTAATAGCTAAGATCATGAGTCATTTGAAGCTAGATCACCATGGAAATCCTGGAGACCGATAAGTCCTAAGTTTGAGTCTCGCGAGGTGGGATCGTGAATGTGCACTACTGAGGAGTTTCACAATAGGACGAAACAGCCATCCAATCCTTCCAAGTTTTCCATGGTGGTCTAGCTACAATTGACTCATAGTCTCTACTACTAAATTCTAAATATTATTTCTAATGAAAATACAAGTACTACAAGAGGTATTTATCACGATCTGGTATATGTATGCTATTTAATATAAATTTCATTAACTCCACAAAATAATTTAGACAAGGTAGGTTTATTTTTTGTTGTTGATTTCAATGAACTCAAATGCCTTGTCAATTCTGATGAGAAAACATTCTATGGCTATTCCATTGTTATCAAATACAGAATAGTATTATGGTTTGAAGTAGAAAGCACAAGATCTGAGTTCCCAGTTCTTCTGGGAATTTAAAGTGTCTTAAACAGCTTACTGGTAACATTTCTGATAGCTGACTGAAATGATGTGCATTCTAATATCACAAGGAATGTACATTTCTTTTGAGGGATCAAATATGTCTACCTGATTTATGTCAACCAGTCGCAAATGATCTATAAACAACAACTGAAACGTATGATTATCGTGAAGAAACTCTTGCCTGTATTTAGTATTTTTTATTGACACTTAAAACAGATTGGTGAAGATTGTTTAACTAAATTAACCGCTAATTTGAGTTTATAAGTTTCATTTATCATAGATCATCTCACTGGGCATATTTTATTTAACACTGGACACAAGTTTACTTATTCTAATTTAATTGATCAAATATTTATGAACCATTCACAGTCTACTTTATGAACACTATGTATTGTATCTAACTTTAAATTTATTTTATTTTACATTGTACTGTAAACATTTTGTTATTAAAAATTATGTTAGCAACAGTGTAGTTGTTGTTATGCCAGTTTACATTTTTATTTCAAACGTAAATGTTAAATTCAGCTCAACAACAAAAATAATGAATACTTAGTAGATGTACTCAGATATATATTTTTATCGACTTTATTCAACAAAATACTTGTGTCGGGTTATATTTCTATTTCCATTTTTTTAGAAAGAAAAAACAAGTTCATATGAACTGTGATCATCAAAGGATGGTACCTTTCATGCAACAGTTTAATGCACTTCTCAGTTCAAATAACTAATAGTAGTAACTATGACGATAGTATCGGTATATAATTCATTTTAAAAAAACGATTTTATGCCGAACCAAAAATAAAGAAATTAAATCGTTGAATACTAGTCACTTTATATATATTTTTTTACAGATCACGGTAACGGACTTTATTTTCAATTTGTATTTGTTGAAAATCAATCATGCTAAACAGAAATGCCGAATTTTCAATATAACTCACAAATTGTTTCATAACAGTTTAGCTTGATACCACTGGTTTAATTGAATTGAATAAATCTATTTTAGCTTAATAAGTTGACTATCGTAATTAAAATAATGATTTCCGAAATATATCATTCATAAAACATTTGGATAGACTACAATTATAGGGAAGCATCAAATAAATTGCTAATGTACACAGATTATTAGTTGAATAACTAATATATAAAAAGAGTATAATAATGGTTTTCCGAAGTGAGTACGTATATTTAAATTAGTGACTGGATACATTAATGTTTTAAACTCATACCATAGATAGCAATGATCTTCATTGTAATTCTAATTCATTTTAAAGTTCGACGTAACATTTATCTATGGTATACGCTTCATTGTTTGTGTTTCGATAGCTGATGAGACTGAGAGCAAACGCTACTGAGAGATATCAAACTAGTGTAGAACACCTGTTCAGTGATTCATAGCTTTCAATGACCATTGCTTCCTTTAAAAACTATGACACATTGGTAGATTGAGTGTGTGTATTTCGTGGCATAATGATTCATAAAAATGTAATAAACTGTCTATTTCAAATAATCAAACTAATGTTTCCGTAGTACCAAAAAACATGATAAAGTAGTCTACGTTTTCAATTTTCGTTGTAAGTGAATACTAACTTGCCAACAAAAACTAAAAATGATTCATACTAACTGGATAACTGAGTTCATAAACCAATATACTTAAAACATAATTATTCGTATAATTGTTTAATTAAACATCTTAAAACTTCTAATATGAATATTTCGTACTGAAAATCTTTGTAATACACAGAAGCTTCTAATAATAGTGGACAGTTGCGTAATAATAGTTTCTCAGCGAGCATCACAACTATATAATTTTGTACATTATAGATCGCGTGACTTAGTGTTTGACAAAAAATAATAGGATGGACTGAAGTCTATATTTCTGGCATTTTTTTCTGCTTATTATCTCTGAAAAACCAGAAAGGAAATGAGATCTACAAACAAGATTATCTGAGATCACCTTGTCTTCCATATAAATACCGAAATTAATCAGTGAAAATTTTCATAAATGGCCTATTGTATTATTATAATTCAATTGATTTATAACATGAATTACATTTATCTACCCTAATGACAACTGAAATAAGTTTATGCGCAATTAAGATAACTATTAACATCGCACAGTATAACAATCACTCGACAAACAAATGTCCGAGCGACAATCACGAAAATGGAACGAAGGTAATTACAGACTAGAATTAACGCAAAACGAATGTAACTAAATTTCATAATTATTTATTGAAACAAACATTTTTTTTAAAAAATACTATTTTATGGATAAAATGTAGAATCCTGTTAATTAAAGAACTCCAATTTGAATCTGTACAGAATTAAAAAAACTAAAATTGGCATATATTCTGTTTAAAATAAATGATAAAAATCAAATGTGAAATAATCTTAAAATGAAATCTGTTTTAAATATTTACAAGAAAAAGAAACCGAAATCATCATCAATTCTAATCTAAGTATGGTCTCCACATTACTGGATGTTTAGTATTTATTGTCTCAGATGCAACTTCAGTAGATGAAGAGATTAATCCTCTCGTACAACTCATAGAATCGTTCATCAATGCATTATCCAATTTACTATGTCGAACACTGGTATTATGTAGATCAACGGATTTATTCATTTCAACTAATCCCGATCGCCTTACAGGCACAGTGAAAGCTGACAAATGATCATCACATGACAATGACGAAGGTGATATTGACGACATATTTCTCATACAATTCATAAATACATTACAGGATCTCTGATCTATGTTTGGTAATTTCACAGAACACAAGTCTGTAGATTGAGCAGAATCCATACTCACATTTGTCCTACTAACACCAACTACATTATTCGCATTCGGTGTGAATCCCACTGACTGAGTTCCACTACTGAAAAAACCACTATCAGAATCACTCAATAATGAATTGTATTTGTCATTATATTGTAACGGTGTCGACTGCCATTGCATCATCAATCCATTAACTCGTGAATGCAGATTATTCACTGGAGTTGATGTGACGGAAGATGATGAGAATGATGCTGATGTTGATGAAGAGGTGGAGGCGGAGGTATAAGTGACATAGGAGGAGATTGGAGTTGAATTACAGGTACTATTGATAATAACATTGTTAAGATAAGGAGTGCTGTAATGTTCAATCGATGAAGTATTTCTTATTATCAATCTCGGTATTCTGTTCTCCTTATTGTCTTCATCAATTTTCTGGTCGACATTATCACAAGTTGGCACTGGAGACGAGATTTTCAGGGCACTGAACATTGGCGTAGTAGTAGTAGTGGTATTCATCGTCGAACAAGAAATAGAGGTATTAGAGTGTGAATGTTGTTGACTTTGATGATAGGAACGATGGTGATGTGGATGTCGAGTGAATTTTCTTAGTGAATTGCCATTCCCATTCACATTCACAATATTTTTTATATCTTCATTGACATTTGATGAGGAATTACTTGTTGATGTAAATAATGACGGTGATGATGTTGTTGTTGTTATTGTTGTTGTTGAGGATATTGAGGAAGAGTTTGAGATCTCATTCAAATTGTAACGTAATTTTCTTAAACGTTCTTGGAATTCTATCAATGAAATAAGAAAAATTAACATTAGCATAGGTTACGTTGATTTCAAACAATAAAACACGAAGAGAGAACTACTCACTTATATAACAAAACTATTTAAACGATAATACAATTGATAATTATGATAAATCTACATTAAGTAAGTACTATTCTTCTTTAACTCAAATCTCAGTTTTCTCAGTTTTGCTATGATAAATCATTTATTTTGTATGGATGGAATTAGGAAATAAATAGTCGTACCACTAGACAATACTATTTATTCAAAATATTCTAGGTTATTCACATAGTGGATTCCTTATCATTTATTCAATCAATTGCTTATCATCGATTTCATTTCATTCAGTTACTGAATGAAACAAATGCAATATAGAATATTAACAGTACGGGTAGAGGATAATACTTACCAGGTTCATCTTTTGCAATGTTTGTAATTCCTTCAAATACACTTTGACACAAATTCAAGATATCGGCTTTCTCAACTTTATGATATTTGTTTGGCTGCAAAATAAAATTAAGTGAAATGTAAAGATAATCTTATTTGATAATGTTTTCATCTTGATCATCTGTAATTTACTTATTTTAATAGTGTCGGTAGCAATGGGAATGAAGGGCATATATTCGGTTATTAGTTAAAACTAGCAAATTCAATGGACTTGAATCTCAGTATTTTTATCGGCAGTAATATTTGAACCAAGTACTAGTCACTGCGAACCTCAATGTGTTATCCACGTGTAACCAGTAATCAACTTCATTATCAATTCTCCTACACTGTTCAAAATCATTTGTCAAAGTAACATAGTCGGTAGTACAGATACTGAAAATATTCTCATAATAATAAATCTTAATGGCCAATATATACAATAACATAATAGTGGGTATTTTCTCTTAGTGTAACGAAAATGGAATTCACCCTATTAACATTGAGCAAGTTGAATTGATTGAGTATCCATACCAATTACTCAATTATTAATATTGTTCTACATAATGGTGTGCGTGTTGAAAACTCAATGACAATATGTAATTAATGAACAAATTAGTCGAAAATAGGTGTCAATTATGTCAGAGTGAGGTGGTATGTTAAAAATTAATTGATCCATCATTCATGAAATTATATAGAATGAAAATTATTTATCCTAGTTGACATTCTATTCTCAATAAGAAAAGCCTAAATATCTAAATAGCTGAGACAACTTATGTCAATGATCAAATTTGAGTTAACATACAAATGGATATACAATGTGATCTAAGACTGTGTTCGATATAAATTAGTAATACACAAATAATAGCATGACAAAACCTACACAAATTAATTTATTTCTATAAGCTCCAAACCCTAATACTCACAAATAACCTCACTTGAAAATTTCGAAATACAATCCATAAAATTATTTGTACAACATCATTTGAATTAAATCAGTAAGAGTTTATCACTAAGAGACTTACATCAATTCCAATAAGATTCATTGCTAAATTATGCAATGCATTCATTTTATCCGAGATACATGCACGTCGTCTACGTTCCATATTTTGTTTCTTCAACTGAATACGAAATGAAAAGTATAAACAATTATACATTTTCATAATTATTGATAATTAATTATTCAATAAGTTCACTAGAATTTTTCAACAAAAAGCTTCATTTCACTTCAGAGGTATTAATGTACTCACATGAAACAAGTAACCTATGCTCGTATAGAATACTAACCATCTACTGTGTGCAGAGTAGAAATATTCAGATCAAACACAATTCTATATGATACCTCGTATGTTGTAGCATAACAGCATTCAGAAAAACACAATCAAGAAACTGATCATTTTCACTAAAATACAACGAAAGTCCTTATCAGCAAATCATTTCATAGTTACATAGTTACATAACTATCAATTCAATTATGGACTTCTGTCTAACCTCATCGAATCCACTTCCATACACATTCAAACAACCACGTGATCTCTTATTACTCTCACCATCTATCTTGTAATCACTAAGTTAGTGACACATCAAATATATCAAGTCATTTTATAAGACACCAATTCACAAAGGTATCATTACAGTGTATGAATTATGACAAACACACTCACCCGACGTGTTTGTTCTCTGATTTCAGGTGGAACAGTTGATCGTCTTCCTCTTCGAGAACAGACAGTATTTTCACTGGATGGATAAGTTGAACTAGATCCATTCGAGTGATTTGGTTGTATATGGTAGGTGCTGTGTATATCGGTAATCGGTGGTACACGTGCATAGTTTCCACAAGATTCAGTAAAGGGTATCATAGTGAATAGGAGTTGTGTGGTCATCTGAAATTCTGGAATTTTTATACGTTTTTCAATTTTCATTGATTTGCGCGTGTTGATGACTGAGCCAATGAGGTTGTAGCTTGTGTCAGATAAAATATTTTGAATCGTGTGTAAATCGAAATGTCCAATGAGAAAATAATTCGTGAGTAATGATTGTGTCCATTTAGTGTTTTGATTGGTCTATCGACTTAATGGAGGGATGTAAATCAAAATTTGGCACGTGAAAAATGGCGAATCGAAAAAATGATCTGTAACTGTATGTATGCATCAGTATATGTTAATCATTGATATTCCAATAATAATTTTATAATTTACGAGGTACATAACGTTAAAATAACACCCGACTTATATATTGTATGCAACAGCAATTCTTAAATTAATTTTTAGGATTTGTTAATCCAGCTGACATTATGGTGTTTAAGGTGATTTATTTCATAAAACCCATACAGAAATCATTTGTTTATGAGCAAACATTTTCAGAACGTCGTATTAACATGATGTGTCTATTTCAATGAAGAATCTATTGGTTTCTGTATTTAGTATATTGCGTTATAACTAATGTCGAATAATGCTGTTTGCTTAAAATTTCAATTACTGGTTAGGTTGTTGAGTCCTACACTTATCTGATTGAACTAGAGAAAATGCAATTTGATAATTATTTAAGTTATTGTCAACATTCCTAGAGATATTTAAAATCAAAAGGGGTTTTGTAGATATTATCCAATGGTGTTAATGTCTAACTTCAACTAATCCATGAAAATGAGCGACATATCCACCATTATCTTCAGTGAGTTACGATCTCACAACAGACTCGGTTGAACTCCTTTAGTCACTGCTTCTCTTTAGAACTCCAAGAAATACCCCTCGGAAACCGTCACTAGTGAGCATATGTTGATTAATATCAGAAGATGTTTTGTGGATATTGTAGTAATTTTGTAGCTGAGATCATGATTCAATTGAAGTTAGATCACCATGGAATACCTGGAAACACTGGACGGTCGTTCTGTCCTATCATGTATTAATTGGAGTTAGACATTAACACAGTTGGATGTCGGTAGGCTTAGTTGTCTAGTAGTTAAGTGCTCGCGCGTGAGACTGATAGGTCATGGGTTCGAATCCCACGAGGTGGGGTTTTGGATGCACACTTCTGAGGAGTCCGACGGTAGGACGAAATGGCCGTCCAGTGCCTTCAGTTTTTTTCTGGTTGTCTAGCTTCAATCGACTCATGATCTCAAATATTAAGTATATTTAAAAATTAAAATATTCTCTTAGTATTTCATATTCAATTATTAGTTAATATATGCATGATAAACATGGTAAGTAGGGTATTGTATGATTTTCAAGAAGTGACCAACAGCTTGTTAACGTCAACCTAGTCAATAACCTGTATTCTCTAATTTGAAAAGTTGTACAGATTCAGATATTTTTTCACCTTTTCCTTTCTTTTTAGTTTCGGGAAAGAAACTTGTTGAGAAACCTCGTGCTGAGAATTCTATATTGTACAAAAATATGATACGGAGTAAAGCCATTGATAATAATGTTAATAATAATAAAAATAAAAATAATCGTGAACTCTTTGATACTATAACGAATATAAAAATATCCTGTAAGATATTCTACTAGTCTCTCATCAATTCAAAACTTTTGTTCACCATTATTCTCAATAAAAGGATCTCTAATCATCTTTTCTTGTTATGACTGAAAAAATTTCACTGATTTTGATATTCATTCAAAAATCCATATGGTAAACTAAGAAAAAACTAGAAAGGAAAAGGATTGTGAAGCACACCTTAAATATCTTCACATTTAGACAACTTTTAATGAGATTCAGTCACTAATGAAATATCTACAAATGGATTCAATAATCAACTCTAATATAGGTCAATCTAAATGCTAATGTAAAATGCTTTTTTTTTCTCCTATTAATATCGGATAGCCTGTGTATTTTGTGAGGGAAGTATTTAAATATTTAATATTATTCTATCTGATGTTTCATTCTCAGTTTAATCATCATCATTTATAAAGTGTAAAAGAAAAACAACCCGATATGCATATCTATTTGCTAAACATTCATACAAAATTTAGAGGTTAGATTGATTAAAACTGGACAGAGATTAAAATCATTGAATGTTGAGTGTTTGAAATGAATGACATTTGAAAAGTCGTCAATATTTATTTAACCTGACTTTTTTTGGGAAATCAAAACAAACAAAAATTATACAGGTGCAAAAAAATATTTTAGACATTTCTTTTTTTTTGGTGCTTTTTATAGTCCCTAGAATACAATAATGGTAATGTTACTTACTAACCATGACATTTATGACTACAAAGAATCAAAGCTGAGACATATAATTTCAGTCATCAGCTTTATTAAAGTGAATGATGTATGGATCTTAAAGATCATCATTCATATTGATAAAGTTCTGTATTTATATATTCAAAAGATAACACAAATATTGATCATTGAATAATCGGAAAAAAAGTATTTTACGTTCCAATAATTGAAATGATAAGGCAGTTATGTAGTCTTAGCTTATACAATGAAAGTAAATATAGTTTGTGTATATTTATAAACAGAGGTGTCTATTACTCTATAAATGTGTTTGTTTGTTGAATATAATCTTTAAAATCGATATGTTTACTATCTATGTAAGATGACTTATTAATTAATGCTTCGAATAAGAGAACCTCTTTGTTTTTCTAAGTTAAAAAAGTGTCATAGAAAAAATGTACTGTATTTATTTCATTGTTTTTGCTCAATCAAGTGTGTCAAATACAACGAAAACAGATGATAAGTGTACATAGTTAGGATTAATATATCATCATTTAGACATTTGATTGTATTTGTGTAAATACATCAAAATGTCACCTCATTCATCTTTATTATTTTTATGATTGAGCAACAACTTGGGCTGTGTTTTTTTTTAAGATAAACAATCAATACAAGATTTACCAACAATAACATCTTCATAACTTTTTGAAAATGATGATTTGTTTAGAGTTATTTATAGACATTTGGTTCATTTAAAAGAAATAATAACTAAATTATAATATAAGTGAAGATTAGTTCAACCGTAATGAACAAATTGTAATCATAAGTAAATAAGAACTAATCAATTCATATACTTATTAATAAAAATGTTTATTAAGGGTTTCAATTCTAATTGTTCACGTGAAAATCATTAAAACTAAACATTATACTTAGCCAATTAACAAAAGATACATCTATTTCAATCTAAGTGTATTTTAAAGTGTAACTGAATAGATAACATATTCTGTTAAGATGTATTCTGTTAAATATAACAGGATATAATTAAAAAAATGAGATAAATAAAACGGTTGTAGAGATTGTTGAATTTTGTTTGAGACCATGAATTTATCAATGTTAGGCCATCATTAAAAGTCTGGAAGCACTGGATAGCCGTTTCATCCTAGCATGCGTCTCCTCAACAGTGTGCATCTACGATCCTGCTCGCGAGATTCGAACCCAGGATCATCGATCTCGTGCACGAACGCTTAACCTCTAGACCACTAAGCCGACTGGCATCCAACGGTGTTAATTTCTAACTTCAACCAAACCACGAAATTGCACCACCATCCACCATTGTCTTCAGTGAGTTACTATCTCATAACAGGCCCAGTTGAAATATACTGGTCCAGTAGTAATTGTTAAAAAAACTTTAAGCTTGAATTCACAACAGATTTTGGATGTATGCTTTATGTAACATACATTGACTAGTACGAACACAGGTCAGTCGTCTCCTAATGATTATTATCTTTAACTACTGAATATTCAAATAAATTAAATCCTAATACACGATCCTTTCATTTATTGATTAAACTGAAAATTTGTCAATAGAATTCGATCAATACTGAGAACTGAATGAATATTATGATAGATTATTACTTTATCGTAGACTAAATTAAATGATTGATACATTAAACATGTAGATAACTACCATAGACTATCTACATCGAATGACTGAGGGCCAGCTAACTTTGAAGTCACTCCTCAAGGTTAGTGCCCTTTCGTCGTATCCAGATACTATGGCTATCTCGATGATGGTACAGTGCAAACGACGTTATTACAGCAATGTATTAGTATTAATAGATACAAGGAAGAGAGTATGACCACTGATGCATGGGCCAGTTCATGACGTACAATCAACTGATTGGCGATGGTTGTCCTTGCCCTTGATGTGAACCGGTGAACTGTTTGACATTCAGTGATCCAACTACCGGATGATTTGTCTAGGGCTCTGTGATATCTCACTGACCCTACAAACAGTAATGATTTTAGAAACTGCTAGTTTTGTATCATCAACTTTATTTATTTGTGATTTGAAAATTCCTGCCAACATATTAACAAATTGAATATGAGTACTAGCTAATTACGTTACTATATACTTGAAAAATTGTATAAGATTAAACTTCATTTAACAGGTAAATTTGTGTAGATTCAATTTACTAATGGTTTTCTTGCTTAACTATAATAATCGACATATGGTTAAACAATATAAATCAAAATAAATTAACATGGCAACTAATCTCCTAGACCAAGCTACAAGTATTCGGCAAACAATATTTACTAACAATCATTTGTAAATATTAAGATTTTGCGTGACATGAGTCGTTGCGCAAATGTTGCATAATGATTATCATGCTTTAGATGAAATGATGGTAACCCCGTATTATGATATCTAAAAAAATCATAATGTTCCTAATTCCAAAATAGTTGTCATGTTAATTTTGGGAAATGAATGAGATTACATAATCATCATCATAAATGAGGGCTTAAGAATGGTAGGGTACAAAAAGATGAAATATTTAGCCAGGTATTCAGTTAAAACTAATCAGTAGGACACGAGCTAGCACGAGTATGAACATAACAACTCAATATTTATTCTGCACTGACATGTTAATTTCAAACTAATCGTAAATGAACTATTTTTGTAAATGATCATATGAAAATATGT